GGGGGTGTGAGCCGGGGAGGCCGGCCGGGGGGGCCGGGGCCGTGCTGCCGTTCACGCAGCCCCACCTTGTATGTAGTCATCTAAAAAAAAATCGGTTTTGTGTCAATAAATGAAGTGCTGCGGGCAGGCAGCGGGGACATCCCGTTGCAGGTAACTCCTCTAGAGCTGGAGTCCAGGGCCACATGGCCTTGAGGCTGATTGCCAGGAGCCTTCTGGTCACAGAGGTAAATAATCCTTTTTCCCTTTTCTTTCTCCATTTTTTGTCATTTTAGCTACTGAAACAAGAGGCAAATAGCTCCAAGGAGTCCCTCTCTACGTGTCAAACATACACCAAAAAGAAACATCCAGTCAAAGCAGGAAATAGCCAAGAAGTTCCAGCTATCAATGGGAACGGGAATGTCGCAAAGGCCAAATCCACAGATAAAATGGACAGTGGTTCTGGTCTTCCGCCAGCAAAGTCGAAATCCAAGACAGTTGCAATGGATAAGAATTTGAACGGCACCAAAAGCAATGGAAAAGGCTTTAAAGAAAAAAAGAAAAATGGCAGTATTTTAAAGGAGAAGGGGGATATAAAACATAAGAGGAGGAAAGCTGAGGAACACGTGGAGCAGCAACCCAAAGAGTGAGTACGCTGGGCATCATACATGTGTGTGGATATTTGTTTTGGGAGGTGTACGTAGGGAGCACAGAACAGTACGTTCAAAACAGCAGCACTCTTCCAGACGAAATTTTGGAAGAAATAAGACACATGCTGCCCCAGCTCCTCAGATCAAGCAACAAGCCTGCATGGGTGACAGTACTAGGCTAATTTTTAGAGAGCTAATTTCTTGATTTAAAAAATAAATGCTTTTCCTACACTATAAAAATACAAGACTGCTTTAAGACCATTGAATGTAATTAAATCTGTACTTACCAGGGCTGACATCTGGTTTGATGACGTGGATCCAAAAGATATCGAAGCAGCAATAGGACCTGAAGCAGCAAAAATTGCTAGAAGAAATCTGGGACTTGAAACGGGCGAATCCAAACAGTCTGTGGAGCAGGTGCTGGTTAAAGAAAATGCTTCTGAAGGGTGAGTGGCACGCCAGCGGGAAGGATGGCAGCAGAGGCATCGAGATTATCTTCTAATAACTGTGATTTGCAGGTGCCCAGCATAAGCTGACATCTCCCCGAGGCTGCTGACAGACACGCTGCCGTGTTTTGTAGCAACACGTGAACTCCACCACCCAGTCCCTGTAGGAGGGGTGTCACCCAGCTGTCCTTTGTCTTTCAGGCTGACGCGAGCTGTAGCCATGGACTGCGAGATGGTGGGAGTGGGGCCTAAGGGTGAAGACAGTATTGTGGCTCGTGTGTCCATCGTGAACCAGTTTGGAAAGTGCGTTTATGACAAGTACGTCAAGCCGACAGAAAAGGTGACTGATTACAGAACAGCTGTTAGCGGCATCCGCCCCCAGAATGTAAATACAGGTAGGAGGACTTTTTTCCCCAAAATGTTCTTTAAGGAGGGAGAATTTAACAAGCTGCCACAAGTAACCTCGTTGGCTGAGCTTGGAAAAGTTTTAGAGATATTTTAGGAAATGGAAAACAAAATGTTGTCTGAATGCTAAAAAAACTGGTGGGAAATAGTAGTTTCTGACAAATAGGTCACTAATGCCCTAGAAGAGATTAACTCGTGGATCATGGTATGGGACTAACAGGAAGTTTATTCTTAGTGCTGTTCTTTATGGAATTCTCTAAGCTCTTCTACGAAGCAGAGGATTTACTGCACAAATTTGTGTAACCACAGTCCCAAGGATGCAGTTGCCTTCACAAACAAGATGTGGTGCTTTAACTGTAGCTTGCCCGGCTGTCTTATGCATCTAACGGACAGAGTTTCATTGGTGTCATTAACAGACAGTTTCACTGGCTGATACTTTCAGGTGAAGATTTTAAAACGGTTCAGAAGGAGGTCGCTGACATCTTGAAGGGAAGGATTTTAGTCGGACATGCTTTGCGCAACGATCTAAAGGTACGTGGCTGCAGATTTGTTGTTTTGAAGACAAGGTCACAAAAATTTAAGATCCCTTGGATTTCTGAGACATCTTTCTGCATCAGATGAACACATCTGAACTAGAAACTACAGCTTGGTCACTTATCTTGGTGTCTTGTTATTTCATGCTGTGCCAAGTAGAGCCCTAGTCACTTGCCCATCACAGTTTTTCAACTTTCAGTGTCTGTTGCTAATAGCACCGATCTGTTTACTGAAGGGCCAGGAAAGAAACAGAACAATGAAAAAGCTGTCTGCATGCTTTGCTTAGCCCCTGAAGCTCAGCAGTCTGGTCATCGTTACCAGAAAGAGCCGTCATGTCGTGCTGTAGCAGCACTGCAGGTAGGCTCTACAGGGGCTGCCTCCAGATTCAGCTCTTCCTTATGCCAAGTAGAACTGTGGTTCTTGAATCCCACCAGTGTCTGGATGATCTTGGTCTTGCCCACTCATGGTTTTGAACCATCTCTTGTAGCAGATGGAAGGGAAGAGCAGGAGGCTGTACATTCAGCTGTATAAATTTCCATGCAACAGCACGCTTTGGACTGGAAATGTGGTTTCTTCTAGGTCCTATTTCTTGATCATCCACAGAAGAAGATACGTGACACACAAAGATACAAGCCTTTCAGA